CATCTGCTGTACTGAGACCTAGAAGTTAGTTTATTTTTGAGTAAACTGACCAAAAACATGCTCAGTGATGAATATATCCTCAACTACAAAAAACTTCTCACAAGCTGTAGGGTTTGATGTCTTTGATCTTTTTCTCTGAGTATCTACCCTACCCAAAACTTCCTATTCCCCCAAAATACCTCATCCCCATAGTATGAAAGGGTTAGAAATAAACCTCCAATATTTGAGAGCTACTTTGTCTTCCAGCAAACATAAAATGAAACACGCATGCCTCTTTCAAATGAGCCTCGTGACACCGTATGTTAGTGGAATACTTTCCATAAAATCTGAAGCAAGTTTTGTAGGGAGAGGCATCATATAGCCTAGTTGAAACAACTGGAAAAAGCACATGAGCTTGCAAGTTCAAAATCCTTTCAGCAGGCCTGCCAAAACAATCATTGAAACGGATGATACTTAGTTTGCCATAATTAGGCTTCAGAGGTAACAATTAAGTGATCAGAACATTCACACCCACGCCGACCAAAAAAAGCATGCATTATATGAATTAATTTTCCCTGAACCTGCCTGTCAGCAAATCATTACTGAGCAGGCATGTGAACACTGCATTTTGGCAGGGATTAATATTAAACACAATTATCCAAGATATTTGTCAATTATTTGGAAGTAAACTTAAAAGTCACCTTCAGTATAGTGCTAGATTACATAAATTTGGTCAAAATGGTTTACAGTGAAGAGGACAGTACAAGAAGAAGTAGGAACATGGACTGGCTGGTAGTCTGGGACCAATCGAATCACAAGCATTTTTGAAAATTACACAGTTAAGGACCTTATACCATATCTGCACTTATGAGGGACTCTGTGCAAGGAACCTCTGATGTAAGAGCTTGCAGTTATGGTGGACAAGCAGTCTGAAACAAGCTATCAGAGCAATGGGAACTAAGGTAATCGGTGATTCTGTAAACAGACCAGTAACAATAGAAGAAACATGATTTTACAATCAGAAGATGACAAACGTTAGAACACTATATACAAACCCAGGGTCCAATACTTACAGCTACACTGGAAAACTAAATAGAGTACAGAAAATGCGCAGAAATTAAAGGCTAAAGAAATGCTTTATATAACGAAAACCTGCAGATAAATAAGACTTCTTTTTTTAAGCACAGAAAAAATGCTAATAATGAACAACTGAAAGCTAAAGCCAGAGAAATCTATACTGAAATTAAGATATAAATACATAACAGTAAAATTAACTGTCTGAACAAACCAGAAAGAACAGAAGGCATCTCAAGGTTTTCTGATCAATATTGGATCTTGCATAACAAGATACTAAAAGCTACAGTGCAACACTGGTACAAGTTAAACAAGACAAGTAATGAGAACCAGTATTCTTCACTGATTTTTGCCGGTAAGGGTCTGAAATAAACACATTATACTAAATGATCTAGTGATGTCTTCTATCCCTAAGTTCCATGAAACAATATAAAAAGCTACCCAAGCAACATGCTATATTCCAAGCTGCCTGGAAAGGGAGAACCACCAAGCCTAACCAAATTTAATCAAATGTGTTAAAGGTTTCACTACTGCTCTGGATTTTTCACAGCAGGCACTCAGGTAAGACACATCGTACTATAAAGCCCTATACAGAGATCACTATAGATACCATCATAAAGCCCCAACACAGAAAGAAGCCTAGTAACGCAACCATAGGGCTAGTAACTTTGTATTTCAGTTAAAGCTTGAATGATGGGGGTAAGGAAATAACCCAAAAAACTTAGTACTATTCACCATGGTTTATCACTAGAAACAAAACAGTTCCTTGCCATGGATTGTTCCAGATGACTTGTACATCAGGGCAAGAATTCCGGATTTACAATGCAAATATGTTTGTTAACTGGGATGCCACTGAAGAGTTCGCTTGCAATAGCCAGCAGGTACTATTTCTTTAAAAAGGCATATTTTAAAAATAAATTTAAGTCTTCATATTGAAGGTCAGGGAAAACAAACATAAGAAGAACAAAAATTAAGAGAACTACCAAGGCTAATTATAAAGAAAGAAGAACAGATGTACTTTCCCCGAAAATGGACGTGGTTGAAAGAAGTACTCCATGCAACAAAAGGACCAGTAGAGGTGCAAGAATTTGTTTTGCTAACTATTCAAACCTTGCAATTTAAGTTTAAAAACTGGCAGAGTCATCTGTCCTGACAATGTACACCTAAGTCTTCTCAGTTTAATGGCTACTCGGTTCAGTTAATACATACTCTATTTTACATCCCATGGCTATGAAGAACAGGGCTATCTATTGTTACAGAACCATTCCCTGATGCGGGGATTATAGGCATGTGTAACACTACAGGAAAGGGAGAAGTTAACAGAAAGTTTATTAATTAAAGCACTTTCATTTTAAAATAAGTTTTGTGTTCTGGTCTCTAAATGTGAAAAGGCCATCAGAAAATGTAAGGCAAACCATTTATATTTTTGTTCATAAAACACCCAGTTATCTGTAATTCCATACAAAACCACATTTCCTAGAAACATAAGGTCTGTATTTGAAATTGCTATATTTTTGCAAGGTAAAGTTGTAAAGTTGCTAGATTTTTCTAAGGTAGTAATGACAGTTTTGAATGGATTAAGAAGTGCTAAGAAACACTGCAAAAGTGCCAGAAAAATAAATCAAAATTGTGTGTAATATTGACTTACCAAGAAATTATTTTTTCACACTCCTTACCAAATATAGCACTTTAATGACATCTCAATACTGTCCTCTCTTTCCTACTTTGCAAATTATATTTTCCTCCTCCAGTACCCTTCTCTGGTTTTAGTTCAAGACACCTACAGAATACTGCACAATTTCAGCAGG